CGACGTAGAATATTCGACAGCAAGAAACGTTAAGTGAAATAATACTCCGAACAGCGAGAGAATATGCGATGACAGAACGTTCTAAGGCCACTGCTACTGTGGACCACAAGTTCAGTTGCGAATCAGAAAGCTACAAGTTAAGTTGTAAAACAGAATTCGATTGTATTGGCACGTATTTTAAAGTGTTTTAATTGTTTTAAAAAGTATTTTAAATTGCTGTTATTGCCTAAACAAGTATTGTAAAGCGTTTGTTGTACATTAAAGTTAATTGATACGAACTCAAGGGATTTTGGAAAATCCGTCAAGTATTCAAGGATAATCGTAAAAATATTCCCAAAGCTCGTCAAAAAAAATGCGAAGATAAGATCTTACGATGTGGATTCGGAGTGGAAAAACTAAAAATAAAATATTTTCTTATGTTCTATTTATTACAATAATGTGATTACACACTTGCAAATTTTACAAAACGGAGCTCGTAAAGCCATCAAAGTACTCTCTCGCTCTGAGGAGTTATATTTTTTAAGAGCACTTCGAGCGCTAGCTTTATTTACATTCTCTTCACCATAAACTCTTCACATGTTTGGCGCATTCACGAATTTGAATGTGGCATATTTTTAAAACACAAAACTTAGAACAGCAAAAACGCAAATCTTTGTACTCCAAACTTCAGATTCAGTCAGTGATGGAAAAGTAGGCACCATAGTGCCATTTTTGGCACTATTGCAGAGGCACTTTTGGCACAATTCATCCTGTTTGGCACAATCATAAAATACAGAAATTTAGAATAAAATGCCACTATACAAAAAAAATCACATACCACATTATAGATTAAAAAAATACAAAAAGTGAAAATTAAAAGCACTAAACAATTAAAATAAGGGCCGTGGGAAATATTTACAAGCCGCTGAATTCTATTGTGAATACGCAGTACAAAAAATAAGTTTTCGCAGCAACAAGCTTTTAATTCAGAATTTTTAGAAAGATTCTTATATATATATATAGATTGGCGCGTACACATATGTTAGTGTTTGGCCGAGCTTCTCCTCCGATTTGTGGCGTGCGCCTTGATGTTGTCACACAAAGCGGAGGGACCTACAGTTTTACGCCGACTCCGAACGGCGATTGTATTTTTATGAGAAGCTGTTTTTCATGGCAGAAATACACTCGGAGGTTTGCCATTGCCTGCCGAGGGTCGACCGCTGTTAAGAAAAAACCTTTTTTCTATATTTTTGCGATGTTGCTTTGACCAGGGTTTGAACCCAGGCGTTGTGGAGTGGAAGCGCGCACTGCTTACCACTACACCACAGCGGCCGACAGCGGAAAGATTCTTGCAGTTTTATAATCCATTAAATAAAAGTGCAGGTTTTTGTAATATCGCAAGGATTTTTGATATTTTTTTTCTGATGGTGTCATAAATTTTCACCCATTAAAAAAAAATTTCGAACACACTTTATATGGAAAAAATGCATACGAATGAAAACTTGGAATCTCCCTAAAAATTTTGAATTCAAAGTTTGTTGTTGCAAAAAGCTGCTGAATTTTTATAATTTTTGTACAAAGTTTGAAATGCCGATTTTAGTACGTATATTGTGTTTATTAAATTATGAATTAGACTTTTATATAAAATCCATCGAAAAGTAATCAATGAACAGAGTAGGCGAAACTGCTCAAAATGTCCCACTACATATATGTGTGATATGTGTGTAAAAATGTCATAATATCTATATTTCGGTGTATTTCCCCTCCGTAATTGGAATGATGTGTAATTTTACCATGAATTTATGTATATGTCTAAGGAATCCTTCATAAAAGTGATTTACTGTAATAATTTAGTTAATTAATAATTATTGTATTACTTCAGTGTATTTTAAAAATATTATTTCTAAAAATACATTGTTCTTAAAACGCTTTAAAAAATTTAATTTTGTGGCACTTTCATCTTCTTTTCGGCACTATTTTTGAAGGCGATTTGGCACATTTTGAAATTTGTAAATTCCATCCCTGGATTCAGCCAGTCTGCCTCTAACAAATTATCTGCAGTCCCGTCTGCTCAGTGAGAGCAAAAACTAGATAGACCTTCTGAGATTGAAGGCAACAAGAGTTTTTCCCACCTGCATCCCCTCGATGCCAACTAGTCATTGCTGTGCGAATATTCACTCAGTTGCTGATGGTAGCTTCGATGGTCGAAGTGGTGAGTGCTATAACTGGTTGGGATCGAGAAATACCTGGTCTAAGCCAACTGTGTCCAAATGGTCAGATTTCTCATTACCAGGTACTCCAGAGTGACCTGGCACCCAGAGTAAAGCAAGCTCGTTATGCTTACCAACAAAATTAAGTCGATACTTCTGTTGCCGAACTAGTTTGGAAGTACTTAGATATCTATCTAAGGCTGGCCAATGCCTTAAGTGCAGCTTGGCTGTCACTGCAGACACGTAAACCGCGTAGTCCATGGTTTGCGGACCGCAAATACCTCAAATTGGAAGACCGAAGAATATTCCCCAAGAGAAAAGTGAATCTTATCCATATTAACTTTGAAAAAGACCCCAGAACCTAACCTAGAGTCAGTTTTGGAGCCATCAGTGAAGATTCGACAATGTTTGAGTCCGGGTTCAGTGCTGGAATTAAACCAGCATTCAGCCTCAGGGAACTCACCATTATAGAATCTCTTCAACAAAGGTAGTGGTGGCGTACTATCCTGTAGCACTGAAAATACATTAAAGGCTAAAGGTTTGATAATGCATACTTCGCATAACTTCGCACAACCATTTGCACCACTGCATTAGAAATTTAACTTAAGAAAATGTGAAGCAAAATGAAACTCACAGATCGCTAAGCTTGTAAAAGTTCTGCTAATTTCTGGGTAATGGAATACATATAAAGTACATACGAAATTACAGTTTGCAGTTTATGCGAAGTATGCATAATCAGTGTTATACCAACATCCGTTTCTTTTTACCTTCTTACCTTCCTTTTATTAGCTCGGGACGTAACTATGCAATATTGATGCGCCTAAAAGATGCAGCGATTTCTATTCTCAAGTTACATACCTATTGTGACCAACTATTTCATAGCTCAAAGAAGTACAGGTTAGGTTGGGTTAAGTTAACGACGCGAGCTGATTACGAAATTTCGAATGCAGCTAATTTCGATCCCTGAGAGCTCAGTGTTTGTTCAGAAGTGCGAGCCAAATCTTAGCCTCGCGTGGGTTGGACAGTCTAAAAGAAAGTGTGGAGATGATGCCACTTCATCTTCCTCTTGACAGCTGATAAAAAAGGACAATTGAAATTCCTAGTCTCACCGCATGATTACCAATCGCACAATGGCCTGTCAGAACCCACATAACTAGCCCTTGTTGCATGTGTTTTAAAGTGCCCTATAAAAATATTTGCTGCAGCAGAGAAACGTCTACTTTTCTTTTTTTATGTCATAAAAGGACTCGGTTTCCCTTAGCCTAAAAGCCGGCGCCGTGTTCAACATATGTATGTTAAGCGTGGTTCCTAATGCTCAGTTAATTCCTATTTTACAAGTGTAGGCTTCTCGAGTGAGTTCCACCAGATAAGGGCTCCTTGAAACAATATAGGCTTAAATCTGGCTTCCTAGAGCTAATGAATTAATTTGGGCGAGAGACCTCACTTTTTACCGATAGCCCCCTACAGCAGAACAAGGCAACCGAAAACTTTCTTACCCTTTCCACAATATTAGGCTTCTACGACAGCTGCCGTTGATCGCCCACCTAGCTACCTGGTACAGGTAACTTTGAGCCAGATCAAAGAGGGTGTATAGAAATCGTCCCTTAACCAAAAGTTTCACATCATCTACATAGGTGATCACTCGACAGCCCACTTTTTCCAGTTTCTCTAGAAGGTCGTTTACAACGCAATCCCGAGCAGGGGTGAGAGAACGACACTTTGTGGAGTGCTCCTAATGACTCTGCACTGACTGCAGACGCTCCCCCACTCCCCCGCGACAGCTCTGTCACGAAGTAAGCTGTATATAAGCCTTATTAGGTTGGTTTCAACCCCCAGATTATGAATATACTTGACTATTGCCTCTGCAGTGACATTGTTGAAGGCCCCTCTTATGCGTGAAGGGTTCCTCTGACAACTTTACCAATGTGTGCAGAGCGGTATTCACCGACCTTTTTTTTGCATAAAGCTCTTGAAAGACAGTCACGAGGAATCGCGTCTCTTATGTGTAGGTCTATCAGTTGCTCTAGCGTTTTTAGTGAAAACGAAGAGAGACTGATTGGCCTAAAATACCTAGGGGAAACATATGCGGCCTTCGGGATGAACGCAACACTGGCTACCTTCGAAGCCTTGGGGATGTACCCGGATCTCACGCAGTTCGCATAAATAGGATCCAACTAATTGCACGACACCTACAGATGCTTTTGCATCTGCGCAGGTATGATGCCATAGATCCCGGGCGACTTTAATGGTTTGAACGAATTTATCGCCCAGGCCACGTGACGATCGTCCAGAAGATTGGAGAAGTGCAGGACCTGGGGGGAGATTCTGAAACCAGTTAGCGACAATTTTCGAATCGCTATCACAATTTTTGACGCAAAAACATTTATATCATGCTTCAAAATGTGCTATAGCTATCCGAAAATTGTCGTTAACTGGTTACAAAGTCTCCCTCCTGAAGTACAAAATATTCCAAAGAAGTACATTTGACTGTACTTCGAAGTACGAAGTACAACAGCGAAAAAAGAAGTACTGTACTTCCGAAAGAAGTACGGTTGGTCACATTATACATACCTGATGACAGTACGAATGGCAATTATAATAGGGAGGTTTTAGTTTTTTAAACTATAATTTTATTAATCTGCAGGCGGCTTTAAGGCTAAAGTCACAAAATGACGGCCAAAAGTAAAAAGGGCCACGCTAGTTCGGAACTAGTTATTTTTATTATAGTACAGTTGCTAATTCAATCATTTCATTCAAAATTATATTCCAAGTTTTTAATAGTTTGTAAAATGTATTCCCTTCCCATTTCAGATTTTAAACACCGTTTGAAAAGTCGATTGAAGATGAAATAAAGAACATGTGTCAGCTTAACAACTGAGAAAAGGTTTAGTCATCTTCATATTGCCATCGAGCAACACGTCTACTGAAAGAGAAGCTTTTTTAACAGAACCTTAACAGAGACATTTTGCTGGCCTAAACGTAATGCCTCTCTGTGTTCTTAAGTAAAAACTTAGCATTGAAATTAATCAATTTAATATGCAATGAAATAACAAACGACAAACGCAGACTCAGAGTCATATCAAAACAAGTTTCGGCTTAAAAGTGACAAAACGTGTTTGCACACTATATATACATATTATGTATGTATGTATAAGTTTAGTTGAATGCATACCTATGTGCATATATTAAGTTGGACGACGGACGCTCGTTCGTGCTCTCAACGTTTGTTCGCCCACAGTTTTTATTTATGCGGTCTACCTAGTGAGAAAGCACGCGCATATTGGTGAGGGAAAAGCTTTTTCTTGGAGCAATCTTACGCTTTTACTTCGTCATTGCTCCGGCCTTATTAGATTTTAGAGAGCGCTTTTAATGAAAAACACAACTGCTGGCAAAATGAGTAACGAGTCGACTGCTAGTGAGTCAACACCATTTCGCCGCCCGGAAAGCCAAAATAGCTTTGACGTATCGTCGTCTTTGTTGTTGTTAGCAAAATCGCGTGACGTGGAAAAACATTATCGTAATTTAAATCACAACTCCAACGATATCAGCAACAGCAATTGCAGCTGCGACAACGTCAACGGCAACGGCAACGGCAACGGCAATAGCAATAGCAACACCAGTAGCGCCACAGTATCGACAACAGCCGCATTGGCCATCGCAAATTTGAATAACAACAACGTTGAAGTGCGTCTTTGTGCTGGTTCCGGAGAGGAATCTATCGAGCAAATTTCTAAAACAAACAAGATGGATCACAACAAACGAGTGTTATATCGCGTGGCATTGGATGTGTTCATACTACTCTGCGGTAAGTTTTGACTAAATAATTAGTAAGTGGTTGCCAACAGTTCGGTAAATAGTACGTACAATATAAAAAAATGTTCCAACCTTACATAAATTGTGGTGAATCAGAGAACACACACACGTAATTGCATTCGTACAATATAAGTATTAACTGCCGTAAACAACAACCTGTTAAAATAACAAAAAATTGCAAATACATATCTAAGAGCATACATACATATATACATACCCTGCAACAAATGGTGTGACTAATCTCTAAAGAGAGTATTCCGAAATTACTCTCGATCGGGTACAATTGGGCATTAATTAGTCGCAACTAGTTTTAAACGGGTATTATTGAAGATCAATTAATCTCGGCTCATCCCTTAAAGGTATAATTGGAGATCAATTAGTCCCCGACTCATCTCTAATGGGTACTATTAACGATTTACGGGTCTATTCTGCACGTTACCGATGATTCTGTAACCGGAAAATTTTATTACCAAAAAATGTTGCCACTTGTCACCGCGATTCTATGTACGTTGGTAATACAGTGAAAATATTCAGCAAATCAGCTATAAAGATTTGTGGACATTCTTGTATTGCATATTTCACGTGGCAATATTTTGTAACCAGCTTATGAGATGGTAATAAAATTTACCGGTAACAAGAGCGCACAGAATGCGAAAAAGGTTTAAAAATTGGCGAATTTCCGATTACAAAATTTATGTTACCAGCGCAGAATAGACCTGTTAATGATAAGTGCGCACTTAGTCGATGAAATTTTATGTGCTGCGTTGAGAACCCTGGTTCGAATCGGTTTTCGGATTTTTTGCTGGCTGGGTAAATTTGTATATGTATGTATGTATAAGTATCCATACGTATGTATATCGTGCCAGCTACCTGAATGAAGGTTTTTATGACTCAAATTATATTGAAAACAGAGTAAATTTTGGTTAGGAAGTTTTATGCACAGTAGGGTGGTCCAAAAACAGTAAAGTCGGAATTGTAATGCTCTCACCCCTAGGATTGTTCTATATCGAAAAATGTATACCCCTATTTTTTTAATTTGAAATCAAAAAATATTTAGAGGTCGCTCAAAGCGCTCAAAGTTTTACATGTACTTTAATATGGGGAAAAAACAACTTTTCGCAGAAATGGTATAGAATTCTTGAAAATCAATATTTTCGATCGGAAAACTTTGGTTCCCTTCAGGAGACCTTCAATATTAATACCAATTGTTTATTTAACCATTTTTTTGTAATAAAGATTTTTTATTGGTCTCCTCATCGCATTTTTCGGGTTTTTGGCGGACCTCTAAATTATAGTTGCGACGAAAAAATGGTTAAATAAACAATTGATTATTATTATTGGGAATCTCCTGCAGATGATTTTTAAGAATTCTATACCATTCCTACGAAAGGTTGTTTTTCCCCATATAAAATACATGGAAAACATCAGGCGCTTTGGCAAAATCTAGGGGGTGAGAGCATAAAAATTCCGACTTTACTTTTTCACATGCATTTTTGGATCACCCTAATGTACAGCCGTCTTCGAATCGCACTTCTCTGCTCGCTATTTGTGAATTCCGGTCGTTTAACAAAAAATTTAGCATGTGAAAGCAAGAACAAAGTTAGCTAGCAAGGATGGACTATAGCAAGTTTGGTTGAATTTCATTGAGTTCATTATCTTTGTATCTTTTGTTCGTTCGTTTCCACTCGCTAACTATTGGCGAATCTATTAAAATATATATGCCCTATCTTAAAGTGATTAAAAAATTCAACGAAATTTTCTATTCTTAATATCCGAATTTCTTGAAAACGTTGTTTATAATTGAGAACTGCAATTAATTAAATGCTGTACCAGTTATTTTAAATTTTCATTTGGTATTTAGTGAGTAATCTAGCTACTTTTGTAAAAAGAAAGATTTTCAGTATTAAGGTAATGTAGAGCGCCGAAAATATAAACAGGGAAGAGCCATTTTAGCATCATTTGGCTATTTATCTTTCGATTACTTAATGCACTGAGGAAAAAACGCGTAGAAGAAATGAATATTTTTTATTTGAATATCGTTTAAAAATGTTCGTATTTAAATATACAAAAAATAGTAGAATCAAATATCTAGAGTGTGCAAGCAAAGATACTTGATACAATTCGTTCAAGGAAACTTTATTGAACAATTTTCTTATATACCACAATCGTATGATGATAAACGTCAATGTGATGTTAAACGTCAAAGTAAAGGAATACAGTGAAACCCGCTTAAGTACCCCCCGCTTAAGTAACCACATTTTTGGGCACCGTGAATATTTTAATGTAATCTGAAGAAAATCCCTCTCTTAAGTACCTCCCCGCTTATTTACCCAACCCGCCTAAGTGTCTAAATTTTTCGTACCCCATTTACCATTTTACTTATAATTTTCCCCTTTTAAGTACGCCCGCAACACGTTCGGCAAAAAAAAAATCTAAAAAATCAACGGTAATTTTTAGCCACTTGAAACTTGCACATTATTACACTAAAATTGAATGAGCTATAAACACTTCTGAGAAAAAAGTTTAATATTTTTATGAAAATTTGGTGATTTTTATCAGTGTTGTAAACAATTTTAAGCTTAGGTTTATGTGGTATTTGTTAGGGAATGAACTGAGTTTTTATTGAAAAATCTTAAAATTAATTAATAAGAATCTTAAAATTAATAAATATAATGAGCTATAAACACTTCTGAGAAAAAAGTTTAATATTTTTATGAAAATTTGATGACTTTTTTCAGTGTTGTAAACAATTTTAAGCTTAGGTTTATATGGTATTTGTTAGGGAATGAACTGAGTTTTTATTGAAAAATCTTAAAATTAATAAATAAGAATAAGTGGCAAACAACATCATTTTGAATTTGGTCCAACACTGTCTGTATGTATAAATTAGGGATGTTGCGAATGTGGTATTTTAGACATCCGCGGATGCGAATGCGGATGTCAAGTATTTTTAAGAAATAATTTAGGTGAGTAAATGAGGTGATTTAATAATAATAATAACCCTGCAAAAAATGGGACTAATCCGGGATGACTCCGGGAGCAATCGCAAAGCATCATGCGACTAATACCACTTTTGATCTCTTTATATGGAATGAACTGATCGCTTTTGTTCGAGCATGTCCTATGAAAAGACTAATTGTTCACCTTTATACCCAAACGGGTATAAGAAGCTACTAGTCACTTTTAAAAAATAAAAATAGAAATTTGAGCCAGCTGAGATTCGAACCCGGGTGCTCAGTTTTGTTAGGCGAATCCTATCGCTGTGTGCCAACGCTCCACATGAAATTTCATTGACTAAGTGCGTACATATCATTAAATCGTTAATAGTGCCCGTTAGAGATGAGTTGGGGACTAATTGATCTCCAATTATACCCATAAGGGATGAGTCGAGACTAATTGACCTCCATTAGTACCCGTATGAGACTAGTTGGGACTAATTAATGCCCAAATGTACCCGATTGAGAGTAATCTCGGAATACTCTCTTTAGAGATTAGTCGCGCAATTTTTTGCAGGGAATAGATTGGCGCTTACACACATGTTAGTGTTTGGCCGAGCTGTCGGCCGCTGTGGTGTAGTGGTAAGCAGTCCGCGCTTCAACTCCGCAACGCCTGGGTTCAAGCCCTCGGCCAAATTAGGTGATTTAGGCAAATAAAAAATGGAAATGTTAGAAATTTTTTATAATGTTTTTTTTAGCGCTTGAATTTAAAAATTGGAACATTCTATTTGATAAAAACTTTTTATTAAAAAGTAATGTTTTTGCCTTTTCGGGTTACAGTCTGTTTCTTAAAGGGTTGTAAATAAAATCTGCGCCACTAAATAACTACTCGGTCGAGGCGACAAACTCGAAAAACTTGAAGCTTGACAAAATTGTATATTCTTTTCGATTGACGCTGCACCAGTTGAGAGGACTTTCAGTTATATTGAGTTTCTTATTGCGGTGCAATAATTCCCTTTTGAGAATTGCATCGGGACAGCAAATGTCGGATGTATCCTCCTGACTTTCATCTTCACAATCTAACATCGTTGTTTAAACACCGCTGTTTTCCAAAGAATTCTTCATTCTCATTCTTTTGGTTCTTTCTGGATTTGGAGTGCCTGTAACGTCATCAGCGTTTTTCGATTTTAGTTTTTGTAATTAATTTTTATTCCTTTCTTCTGTGACTGGCCAGATATACGTTTTATCAGCGCACTTGCACAATATTCCAGGGACCGAAAGTAACAGTTATTTTTTTACGAGTTAAACTTGGCCAAATATTTTTTATTCCGGAATAAAAGTCCTTTCCGGATAATAAACAAACCACTTATCCAAATTAAACAAATTTGGTATCATATGAAAGAGGATTGAAATAGTTGGCTTTTCTCGTTTAGACACATGTATCAGTTTTAAAGCTATTTAATTCCTCTTTCATTTGATACCAAACTGGTTTAATTTGGATAACCGGTTTGTTTATTATCCGGAAAGGACTTTTATTTCGGAATAAAAAAATATTTGGCCAAGTATAACTCGTAAAAAAATAACTGTTATTTTCGGTCCCTTCAATATTCACATTCGCAAAAGATCCGCATTGATTATTATTAAGAAGTTATTTCCTTAGTTTTAAAAACCTCTCCCATTTAGAAAAAGAATCTATACCAATGAACAAGTAAAATGAATTCATCGGACCACAAAAATCAATATGTACTCGTTTTTAAGCCGATTCGGTTGGTACCCAAGGAATTAGTCGGCTCTTTTCAGGATTTTCCTATGTCCTTAGACAAAAAACACATTCCTAACCCAACGGTTCTACATCTTTGTCTATATTAGGCCACCATATGTATGACCGCGCTAGCATTTTGGTCTTTACAATGCCTAAGTGAGACCCGTTTTTTGGAGTTTCAAGGGAATTACAGTTCTTTATTCCCACGAAAGACAACCTGATTCTACAGTTAGCTCAATTGCTTTTAAACGAAAGGGTTCAAACTGTTTCCTTTTTAACTGAGATACCTTGCCA